TCCAACGACCCTGGAGACGACTTCGTGAACCAATTTGATCAAGACCAGCATCATTTTTAGTTTTTTTTTAGTTTTTCATTGTATATTATGAATTTTAAAACTTATTATTGTATATTATTAGTTATTTATAAATATTTTTTTATTTATTTTTTAAATTTTTTTAAATATATATAATTTTAATTTATAATTGTTTTTTTTTTAATAGGAAAAAATAGTTTCGAAGTAAAATCCTCGTAAAGGTTTCGAGGTAAATTCCTCGTAAACTTTCCTAGCAAACTCGTCGTAAAGTGACTACTACGAGTTTACGAGGAAATACTTTACTACGCCCTTACGAGGAAAGTGTACGTGGAGCTTACGAGGAAATGTTTTCCACGGCTTTACGAGTAAATCTTTCCTCGTAAATTAGCTAGGCCTTTACGAGGAAAATAGCCTTTACGATGAACGTCTTTCGACGAAACACGTTTCCTCGCTATTTCCTAGTAAAGGGCCCTTTACTAGGAAATAACGAGGAAAACCCGTCCTAGTAAAGGACGTGTTTTCTTGTAGTGACAGTTCGATACGAGAATATTAGTTGTGACGAAGATGATTTCGTACTCGGTTAGGGTTTAACGGAAGTTGTGACGAAGAAGTTGTGACATTATGACTTTTTTTTTATTCACTGGAGATATGGAACGGTTGAATTCCTAGTGTAACTGTTGATGATACAAATAAATGACGTGGATTGTCTAATTATGATGTGGATTTAATAACTAAAATTTGTATCAATAATAACAAAATTAAACAAATGTGTTTATTATAATTTACTAGGAGTCTGAAAACATTCTAGTAATTTTTAAAAACTGTATGTTATTTTAGTAATATACCAACTTTTCTATAACATTTAAGTAATTTTCTCTTCTCTTTTTAGATTTTATAACATTTTAGTAATTTTCTCTTCTCTTTTTAGATTCTGTCTTAATTTCTGCACAAATGCTCTTCAATGTAAATTACATTTTATTGTAAAAAACGAACACCAATTTTCTTTTGAGTTTAATTTAACATTACATTCAAACGAAAAAAAAAAAAAAAAATCTATTGGGAGATCCAAAAATAGTTTGGCATGATTATCAAGCCGTTTGATCAAAAATCTTTAGAAACCTTATCATAATCTCGTGCAGCAATAATGCTTGCTTATTAAACCCACTAAAAACTAATAGGTCGTTATTTTTGTAGCCACAGTACTGATATATGTAAAGACAGACTAATCTACTCAGAGTGAGTCAGAGATCATAAGTGAGAGAGAGAGCTCTTTATGCATCATGCCATCGAAAATCCTCTTCTACTGGGTGTATTCCCTATCCTCACCAAGAAGTTGACTTATCCAATCACCGCCCTCAAAGGATGTGCGTCTCTCCTTTGAGGACGCTGGACCAAAATGAACCAAATCGGGTTCAGTATTGGAGTTGTGTCCTGCAGATAGGAGAATAGGAAGCTTTTGTTCAGAGAGAATTAAATACGTAGACAATGAAAGTGACTGAAATGCCTAAAGAAGTTAAGACTTATCACCTGATGTGTTTGTAGTGGCTGGTGTAAGCTCGACAGGAGAGGACTGAAGCAGCGGGGAATCTAGATCCGTATTTGCTGTCTGCCTTTCCCCTGATGATCCATAGACAACTGATTCCAACAATCCATCACAGAATGAAGATGGAAAATCGGATGGTGTCAGAGGGAACTGGACTAAAGTATTGTCTGACTCAATCGTCTGCATTGGGTTAGAGTGTTGTGTTTCCCAATCGACAGGAGTGTCAAAACATTGGAATGAAGGGAGCTCCAACTTTTCAGCCTCGTGAATGAGAGGCTCAGAAGGAGAAGAATACGTAGAATTGCCAAGAAAATGGCTATCTGGTGCAACGTAGAACTGTCCTGGAGTGCTTTCGACAAATGGATAGTTCCAAAGCTGAGCACTTTGGTCGTTGGTAGCATAACCACCCGAGTAAGGACACGCGGTTTCTGGTTCCCTAAAGCGTTTGCGGTTAGGCGGCATGTAAGGGGAACCTATGACGTTGTACACATTAGACTGAAACAAGCACGGATTCTGTCTCATCTGGTTACCCGTGGGAATACTGCTAAGCATTGACTGGTAGAAGGAGGAACAGTTGTTGAGTTGTAAGTACTTGAAATCAAATTCAGGGATCTCGAGACAGTCTAGGTCCAAAGACTCTTGACTATGATGACCACCATCCAATGAGTCTGTGTTATGACCATTTTGAGCTGCTGCATTCATGGCTTGCTCACGAACATCATCAGGGTAAATTGGTAAGCCAAGTCGCTGCAGTCTCTTAACTCGCGTGTTCCAGAAATTCTTGATCTCGTTATCAGTGCGACCAGGTAGCTGAAAAGAGAAAAAAGGAAGACAAGATTAGAGCCTAAATTAAAAAAAAATAAAGAGAGAGTGGAGAAAGGGATATATACTTCTGTAGCCATTCGAGCCCATTTGTTACCCATGGAAGCATGAAGTTCGATTACTCGCTGCTCTTCCTTGTCGGTAAAAGCGCCTTTCTTCAAATCAGGCCTAAGGTGATTCACCCAACGAAGGCGGCAGCTTTTGCCACAGCGAGAAAGGCCAGAGTGTTTTTGAACAGCGTTCCAGTTACCATCACCATGTTTATCAACATAAGCTATCAGAAGTTGGTCTTCAGTTGATGTCCAAGGGCCTTTGTGAAAGTTATTGTCTATTGCAAAATCATCGCCTGATCCGGAATCATGGCGAACTTTACCCATCGTGCCTGAGTTTCATATATCATTCTAACACTTGCTCCTATCTGAAAACAAACAAAACAGAATCTCGAGTTAAAACAATGCAGAATAGTTTAGCTAAAGCATGAGACACAAGACGAATGCTCTACATTTACTATGGTATCTGTAAATATGCTGCAAAAACAGTCATCACAATTTGTCAAAATATGCGAGACGACTCTTAGTTACACACAGTAAATAAATTGAAATTTTCTAAACAGGAATTAATAAGTTTAAATTAAAGCTAACATCAAACTCGGGTACCTGACTGAATCTCGAACAACCAAATAGCAAAACTTGCAGCACCGATTCTGTCCAAAAATAAAAATCCCACCGAAAAACAAAAACCCTAATGAAGAATTGAAGAGTTCCTAATAAATAGAGAACCCAAAAAACAACGCTAATGGTGATTTTGAGAATGGACTAATAAGAAAATAAGAAATGAGTTAAACATAGAAACAAGCCAGGAAATGCATTTTTAGAAGCCAGAGAAAGATGAATCAACCAGAAAATAGGAACGAACAGTTTAAATAATAATAAAATTAAATTAAAAAATCAGATATTCCCTCGAGAAGATCATCATAAACCGGAATTAGAGACTGATAAAAACCGCGATGAGATAAGCGTGGAGATTTAAACTCCTCTTTCCGATTTGTACTTTTTTTTCTCTGAGAAAAGTGTGTTTTTTTCTTTTGCGTTTTCTAGTCACTTCCCGGCACCTGAGAATCCGAACGAAGGCAGAAATATTAAGAACCCAAATAAGTATTAAATATATATCTCTCCGTCCCTTTCACTATTTATACGTTCTGATTATCTTAGCATATTTCTTTAATCAAAGCTAAAACGTGTTTAAATTACTAGCGATAGGACCAAATCAATTTCTCCCAGAAAATCACAACTGTTTTTGGGGTAATTTAGAAAAATGATTCTCTTTTTTTTTTTTTTTTTTCTAACTTCATATTTAGGTTAAACTATAACTTGATCTGCATCCCGTGCGGGTATTTGATTTAACTTGTGTTTAACATAAACTCATAAATCGCTTATTTTATAAAAAAACTATTTTTATGTTTTTTAATTTATATATAGAATATAATATATTATTTTATAATTTAAATGTTTAACAATATTTTTTTTTTGTACGTAAACTCATATTAGAAATTTTATAACTTGATGTACTTTGATGTAATTGTACTATTCATATATTAACATGTTGTTTTTTGTTACTTTATTTTAAAATGAACAACATACTAAAAATTAATATTTTGTATTAGTCTTCTATGATTTATCATTAATTTTATGATATTATTTTTTTCTTAAAAATTGAACTCTCGAAATTTTTTATTTGACTAAATTAAATAACGTAATACTATATTTAAAAAAAAATTAAAAATAATATATACTATATATTTCAGTTTGTGTTTTTATTTTCATCATAAAAAAAGAAAAAATCAATGTAATTAATTAATTTAAATTGATTTTAAATGTAATAATAGAATCTGTAAATAAAAATAATAATTTAATTTATTATAAATGCAATGGCTAAATATGCATATAAAAGGAAATATTTAATCTACTATCTATTTTTCCAAACAATTCTCATTTATCTTACTATCTTTATTTTGTTAAATTAAAAGTATAATATAAATTAGCACTCACCATATATATCATTCACTGACTATATTATTGGAAATATCTACAAATGAAGATGTTATGAATTAGTAGTTATTAATTTATTGCATAATATTAATTAATTAGAATGAATATCTAAAATTTGAAGATTTTCAATATAATAATTAATAACTAAATATAGAGATAAAGTTAATTAATATTACAAATATAAGACTGAGAAATAACTAGTATTTATCTTATTAAATAATATATTTAAGATTAAAAATTAAACTTTAGATCAGTAATTTGATGAAAAATTCAAAAGATATATATATATATATATATATATTTCTTTTTGAACACTGATTTTGACTCAGTGTTAACCGTGCATTTGCATAGGTCTATATTCTTTTCCAATCTTTTTTTTTAAAATATGGTTCTAATTTATTGAAATTACATTTATAACACAAAAAATTAAGATCTTACTTTACAGATTTGATGAGTTTACACTAATATCCTGAGAAATTGTCAAAATGGATCGTGACCGAATTGGCAATTTGAGATTTGTCTCACTTCTAGTATTTTTTGCAAAGTGAGTCTCGCGAATAATTGATCCTGTACAAGAGTTGTAGAAAAGATGCGATGCACCCTTTGCGTATAAAGAAATAACAAAGACGCCATAAAGTTTTTTTTTTCTTTTTCACATGTGAGAGTCTGCTCCCTCCCCAAGAGTAATGACTCAATAACTTGAAGTTATTCACTTCTGTTCTTCTTCCATAAACCATCAGACTCGGGGGAGTCTTTGGAAGGTGGTGATGATGTAGCCTCAAGGTGGCTTTAACGCACTCTCTTGAAAACAAAGGATGGTCGATGGTGATGAACATTTAACCAGATGTTGGTCAAGTGGGATGGGATCTAATAAGCTGGCTTTCACGACGCTCTCTCTTATTGGATTGGTTAATGAGATTGATGATGGAACGAAGAAAACCACAAGGAGGATGATGGATCCTTGATATAGTTCAAGACTCTGCTAACTTGAATCTCAAAAGAAAGAAGAAATCGACTAAGGCTTGCTTAGGGGACGAACTGACTCATTTATTGATCTAGGTTAAAGGTTGTATGTTACAATGGCTGTGTGTGGAACTTTATTAGTAGTTCTTCAGCTTTTGAGCTAATGGTCGACTCAAAGTAAAAGAAAATGACTCAAAACGACATGACTTATTGTTTGAAACGAAAAGGAAAAACCACTAACATTACTCGGTTTAAGACCAAAAAGGAAAGATGCAAAATAAAGAAAACTAGGCTTAAACTAAGTCTTGGCCTTGAAACCTAGTTGCATGTGGGATGAGCGAGTTATAGGAACCACTAGATTGACCCATCTTACCTGCACAAATCATAAATACTGAAAATACTTTCCTTGGTTCAGTGTTGGTCCTCTTTGGTATGTTGTTGAACTTGCTGTCGTTTTGACCGGTCTTGGGTAAGCTATTACTTGATCTTTTTCTCGGGTTCCTCAGTATTTGAGTCTTCAAGCTCGTCATCTTCACTCTTGTTTGCTTTATCAAAAATGGGTTCTTCTTCCACCTAAGCTCCTGCCACAGAACCTTCAATATCAAGCTGGCTAAATAAGTTTGCTTACCTTGAGTGATATTGTGTTATGCAAAGACATTGTTCAAGTTATCACTTGGATCATTTTTATGCTGTGCTATGGGTAGTTTAGCTATTGGGATGGCTGGTTATTCATCTATGTTTTTCTAGGATGGCTTGCATAACAAGTATGAACTCTTCTTTAAATTTCTTCCACTATAAGAAATGTGAGTATTGGTAGCAATTCAAAGTAGTATAAATTCACTAATTGTCATTAAAAATTTCAAAATCAGATCATAATTTTATTATAGCATTAAATTCGAGTTAGAAAATAGTTTCATTAAAAAGAAGGGAAGAATGCAAAATATCATTATAGTAACTGAAAAAATATTTTAGAGCCAAAACACTTAACCAAAATTTTATGTTTTTAGCCATTCTAACGCTTAACATAATTTTTTTTTTTCTTTATTCCCTCTCATCAATTATTTTTCTTCTCCAACATGAAATTCAGGTTCGTCTCTTTCTCCTTCTTCGTATTGAATATGTGTGACTTCAATACATATCTCTTATTTCGTTTAATCAGATCTGACTTATTCATCGCTACATTTCCATTGTTCTTAGTGATTTTTAGATCTATTCTAGCTAATTGTGTAGATCTGTGTTTGATTTTCGACCTAGGTAGCTGATTGTGATTCCATTTTCTCGATTATAGATGATAATTATGAATTAAGAGGAAGTATGGGAGACGCTCAAGGAAACTATCACATCTTACATCGAACTTTCTCTGGCTGCCTTTTTCACCGTCTATCAAGTCATCTTTGGTTTCTTCGTCTCGCCTGAGGAACACCGTCCACAATCTATGGAGGATTACCCTCAGCCGGAGTCTCTTCCACCTTTGGTTCACCTCGGTACAACGGCTCCGATTCAAAAACGCCCTTTCTCATGGCCATTAATGTAGGTGGTGAAATACTCCCCTTTATAGGGCCGATTGAATAATGGGCTCGACGTGTGTGGGCTCCGGCCCAAAAGAGATGATATTCCTGCGATTAGCAACTAATCAAGATTAGCTCGGATAATCCTCGAGTTTAATTGGGTTAACAACACTTAAGGCGAGGTACTCGCCTTAGCGGGCCGATCAGGGCCCATTTGGTCGAAGCCTTCCTCGTAAGCGACCAGCTCGCTAGTTCAGACGAAGAGTGCTATAAAAGGAGGAGAGAGGGCAACAAGGAGGGGATCCGAAATCACTTTTACTCACAAGGCGGCTAGAATTAGGGTTTTCACTCTTGTACTTTCTTTCCGACTTGCACGGCACGGCTGAGCTCCCCGTGACACTCCGCCTCGCCTCTCCTTTCCTCATTTGTAACCAAACTCTTTCATTAATAAAACCACTCTTCGACTCTAAATAGTAAATAACGCCTTTGAAATGACCCACAGACGAGTCCAGTCACTCATTCACTGAAAAGACCGAACTCGGTTCGAACAGTTGGCACCCACCGTGGGGGATAAAAAAAGTAGCGTCAACACAAGTATGAGTCCAACTAACGATTCAACCTCCGGCGATGAGGAAGATGCCGCAGCACCGACCTCGGGCGCCGCCATACCACTCGCTCCGACTTTCGTCGACTCTGTCATAGAGCGCCTTGCTCGTCAAGATGAAGCCCAGAAGACGACGAATGGACACCCCGCAGATATCGCCGCCGTACTCGCAAACCTAGACGGTGGTGGACATCTTTCGACAACTCGACGATTTCTTTTCAACACAAACCCTACCCCTACTCCGGCTAACCACC